GACAGCGATGAGGATGATGCCGATGATGATGGTAATGATGATGGCACGCGCCGGCGTCGTCGCGATACACAGGCCGCAGAAGGTGAGCAATCTGAGTCACCAATGCATGGGGAAAGCGCCGCAGTACCAGAACCTTTACCAGCGCCGGCCACAAACGGCGGGACCGATGCAATCGAGAAGGAACCCGAACACAGCGCTGAGGCTAACGCACCTACCGTGGCTGCTGCGCCTAACGCACCCTCACGCAACACTTCTGTACTGATACTCATACGCGATGCATTGAAGAAAGTGACCACACTACCCACCGAGCAAGTGGCCACCAATGCGCTACAGTACTTCCAGCTCTTCGAACATTTCATACAGCAGGCCATAGAAAATGTGATTGGCGATGATGATGATGATGAGGATGAGGCAGCTGGTGTTGCGGCAACCACTATCAAGCCGGATGGTATTTTTACGCCCGAGGAAGAAGAGATTATTGCTGGTGTTGAAGAGATTCTGAAGGAACCCGTATTGGTCAGTAAGCAACCAACTCCAGAACCAAAACCAGCTGAGACACCAGCGGAAGTAGAAAATTTAGTGGGTGAAACGAAACCAGCTCCTCTTCCGGACATGGTTACAGAAGAAAAACCAGCAACGGCTGCGGTAACAGCTGCAAGCGCGGCTTAATTGACGCAGTTTGAATGGGTTTCGTTAGACATGTAGTTGTATTTATTTATTTATTGCATAGCTCTTTAGGAAATTAATAAAAAAAAGTTGTTCATAAGTTCGATGTTTTATTTAGAGACAATGAGGAGTCTTCCGATACCTTTATTCCAATTCTCATCGTTTGTTGTTCCATTGAAATACATTTAAAAAAAAAATAGACAAGAAGATTTAAGAATAGACCTCGACCCAACTCTTTTCTTTCACGCACGTAATCATCGTTACAACAACAACAACGAATGTATCCGACGTTATATTTTTATTCAGACCGACTGTAAGAACATTTATAGTATATAAATTTCAACTCGAAAGAATTTCGAAATTGATTCCTCCAGAAAAGTTATTAACCACAGATAAGAAATTTCACTTTATTTAATTTCAAAATTGTCAGAGTGTGTTAATTCTACAATTGATAAACGATTTACTTCGAAAATTAATAAAAATGTCTTATATATGGAGCCATCTACCGATTTCGATTTTCACAAAAAGTTTGAAAACAGAAAAGAACCCTCCGTAGCTTTTAAAGAAAAATGATTTGAAATGAATATTCAAATCGATCCATAAAACCAATAAGCAATGACGTTGCTTCTAAGTGGCAAAGAAGAAAGTTTGGCGTAGTCAATCTTTTGAACTTGAAGAAGGTTCTTGAAAAGCTTTAAATTAATATGAAACAAGTAAGGAAGGACTAAGTTCGGGTGTCACCGAACATTTTATACTCTCGCATGATAAAGTGATAATCGAGATTTCAGGCGTGGTTGTGAACCGATTTCACCCATATTTGGGTTCGAGTACTTCCTGAGATATGGTTTTTGGTCCATAAGTGGGGGACGCCACGCCCATTTTCAATTTAAAAAAAGTCTGGATGCAGCTTCCTTCTGACATTTCTTCCGTAAAATTTAGTGTTTCTCACTTTTTTGTTAGTGTGTTAACGCACTTTTAGTGACTTTCAACATAACCTTTGTATGGGAGGTGGGCGTGGTTATTGTCCAACATCTTCCATTTTTGAACTGTATATGGAAATGCCTAAAAGAAACGACTCTATACAGCTTGGTTGACATAGCTGTAGTAGTTTTCGAGATATGTACAAAAAAGTTAGTATGGGGCGGGGCCACGCCCACTTTTCCAAAAAATTACGTCCAAATATGCCCCTCCCTATTGCGATCCTTTGTACCAAATTTCATTTTAATATATTTATTTACGGCTTAGTTATGACATTTTATAAGTTTTCGGTTTCCGCCATTTTATGGGCGTGGCAGTTTGCCGATTTTGCCCATCTTCGAACTTAACCTTTTTATGGAGCCAAGAAATACGTGTCCAAGTTTCATCATGATATCTCAATTTTTACTCAAGTTACAGCTTGCACGGACGGACGGACAGACAGACATCCGGATTTCAACTCTACTCGTCACCCCGATCACTTTGGTATACATATATAACCCTATATCTGACTCTTTTAGTTTTAGGACTTACGAGCAACCGTTATGTAAACAAAACTATAATATTGTCTTTAGCACCTTTGTTGCGAGAGTATAAAAATATATCGCTGATGTAAAGCAAATACTTAAGGAGGCTAAGCCCTTTCGGAAACGAACTCGCCACAATGAAGAACTAATTAGCATAAAATAAATCTTAAAAGACCTCCTGGCTTACAAGTGTGTGGACAGCTTTTGGATGGAGCATCATTACTATTTTTAAATGCATACCGATTTACTTTGAATATGAATAAAAATGTCTTATCTGTGGAGCCATCTACTGATTTCGATTTTCACAAAAAGTTTGAAAACAGAAAAGAACCCTCCGTAGCTTTTAAAAGAACGTTTAAAAAATAGTAAAACTTTTACAGAAAAGCTTCAATTGATAAATTATAAAGCCTAATCGTATAAAATGTCTGAAGATGTCAAGACATATCCGAGAAGAAATACTAGATCGTGCATTTTGTGACTTTAGGCTTGACTCAGCACTGCATTTTAAATTATTTTATAACCTTTTATTAGAACATACATATACGCTGAACCCAATGGAGATCATTTCGATCAATTGTTGAAACACAACACAAAAGAAGTGTGGTGTGCTACTGCAGCTTAAGTGGAAATCGTGATAACCATGTAAGCTTAAAATCGAAATCGTAAAGAAAACTCTGTGGTAAAAGCTTTATGTATTATACAAATATTCTTTACTAAGAACAGAACACAGATATATATATATACATAAAAATTTTAATAATAAAATATGCTTAATTTCTCTAGCTACTTGAAACCAAAAGTTTTCCGATGTCAAGTCGAGACAATGCAACCGCTACGCACTTTCACTTTCCCAAACAAAAAACCGAGAAAGAAATCTTATCGACCAGGCAGTCGAAAACAAATTCTATGCAGCTAGTAAAATGTAAATTTGATTGCATTCAAAACTATAATTACATCATTCTTCGATGGGTGTATAAAAAGACAATGATGACACTTAAGTGGTGGCAAACGTCAAGTGGAAGACAAACCGAGGAAATGCAATTGAGGGAAGCAACAACGGCTGGCTGCTTTTGTTTAGGTTGGAAGTTTGAAAAAAATAGAGTACACATACTTATATATAACCCTCTTCACACTTTTCATATTTTTATTTCAAATTATAGTGTTGATCTGGTGCACCTGGCTCACGCAAAGCGTAAAAGCCGCCAGTGTTGGACGCCCAGTCCCAAATGCCTACGCGCCACAAAGGCATCTGAACACACGTGTTGATGAAGTGCGGAGTGCAGCAAGCTATACTCAAGCTGATTATGATTATGACGACGAGGAAAATGAGGATGAAGAAGTTGAGGAGGAACTGGAAGTAGTTTTAAGTGGCGCCACAAAAATCGGTGGAGTAAATGTGGATGCGGAGGAAGGAAATAATGGCGACGAGAATGACGAGGAAGAAGAAGAGGATTATGAAGAAGATGATGAAGATAATGGGGGTGAGGAGGGACGCGCAGTGAAAAGAAAGTTTTTAATAGAGAAGTTTATGGGAATAAAAATGCAGTAAAAAACTTTAGTTAGAAATACTCCTCATTTCATAGAAATAATGTCCTTGAAAAACCTTAAAAAACCTGGAACTAACGTCATTGCACGTATTAGAAAAGTATTCGGTAAACGGATAGTGTATTGTTAATTTTTGCTTTTAATCTCAGTTCCAAACCTTGTTTTATTGGTCTTTTCAGTTTAGTTACCTACTCTAATGAATTCACTTCAGAGCACTGTCATTCCTAACCTTCAACTGCGTTACCCTTTCCTAGTTGTACGATGAGACAAGGAAACATTACCTAAACACTGACTTTTGTTGTCGATACATTTCATCCATCCATCTGGCTTCAAAGAATGTATTTATAATCCAATTTTTTAGCTTTAGCTTTAAATTTGAGACCATAATCAGGCGCTACAAGAAACAATAAGTTTGCTTTAACCTGATTTTCTTTCACAGATGATTTTATTTGAACTCGAATAAATATGTATATTTTTGCTGCGGTTCTTTACTTTAATCACAATTTTGGAAGAAAAAATTATATTTGATTTTCAAGGCACAATGTCAATTTTTGCAGGTTTTATGGTAAAAAATATGTGGTTGGTACTCGGTGTAGGATTTCATCAAGCCCACTTGGCATTTTGAGATGTCGATCTGCACACACCTTCTTTTCTCCTGAATAAGCTGATCATTTTTAGGAACCGTCGATATTAAACCACTGTAATTTAAAACTGCCATACCAACTCACCGATCAAAATCATTCTAAGGGAAACTAAAATTGAAGCAAACGTTACCGTCAATAGTGAAGGCTATATTAAAATTTTTCTTTTTTATAGTCTCGTTGTTCCATCTTTTTAACGCCAAATGGCTCCAGCCATACAGTACGCAAAAGCAGAACATCAAGTGGGACTGAACTTTCGCTGGACAAAACATATCAATAAATTGTGCTGCCATTTAATCATTTTGGGCTTGACTTTTATAGACAATTCTCTCGAATTAAGACCGGTTATCCTGGGAAAAATTGTTGGAAATGTTAAAGAATAGAATTATCATCGAAGCGACTTCTAGTTTGGTCGCGGTTTCTAGTAAATCTTCTATCTTCCTTTCATGTCTTCTTCAACTTGAAAACTCTTATTGAAAGAATTATTTTTCTCGCGGCAGTATATAAGATTTAACAGCGCTATAGATGCCGTCCTTCCCATTCAGCACAATAAAGAATTACCAATGAAACTCGGAGAGTTTGTGACTAACGGCGTTTAAACTTAATTTAAGAACCATGAGGTAGAAATAAAATTAGTTTCAACAAATTATTTAATTATATAAAATCATTTTATTTCTTCGCTATGGTAACTTATTGTATAGCGATGTTGGAGAAAGTTCTCTCTTCAAAGCGCCCTTTAAACCGATACTATTCGCTTTATACGGGAGCTGCTGACCACCAATCGATAGCGTCACTGGCAGACCAGGCGATGAATTCACATATATCGGTATGGTTATGTAAATAGGATTTCCGCTATCTACAGCGAGAGGCTTGAGCTATAAAGTTAAATAAGTCCTGGTTATATAACATTATACTTATATGAAAAATATATTACAAAAGTAAATAAATTAGGTCGGTGTAAAGAATAATTAACGTTACTGATATGACTTAAATTATGTTGCTATCGCACTCACCACAGCACTATCAGTAACACTTTGTTTATTCTCCTCGATATCTTCAATGTTATTAATTAATTCGCGGTTATTAGCATACTCTACTACTGCCTTCTCATTCGACACCGCCACTTCTTGTATGTTTCCTTTGACTTTTTCGCCATCCAATTTCTCCTCCTCAGCCGATGCAATTTCTTTAGCATGTTTACGCGATATTAACGGTACTTCCTTATACTCATAAGCCCCAATTCGATCAGCATTGGGTGCCACATGTAATTGGGTTGCAACAACAGTTTCTTTTGGCACTAGCGCCAGGTCAGCGGGATCATATGTAATCAAGTGTCGATAAGGCAGTGCGCTCACAAGTGCAACAAAAGCACTGAGAAGAAAAAACGCTGCAAGAGTTTGCACTTTTCATTAGAATGTGACCAGAAATATTTTCCAAAGACTCTAAATTAATCAAGAACTCAAAATCCATTTTTTGTTTTTTTGAAATCCTACCAAACAGTTTGGTGCTGGACTGCTTCATCTTTACGCTTTGTAGATAAAACTAAATTTCTCCTCGAATGTTTTCGCCTTTTTATAGAAATAGCGCAAATCTGTAAATGTGCCAACTCTCACAATTAAGTTTCACATTAAGTGTGGTAAAATTATAAAAAAAAAGAAATGAAAAAATAGTAGTGAACAACAACAACCTATGTTGCGTTGAGAACAAAACAACAAAAAGAATTATAAAAACGCATAAAGCCGATAGAATCTATTAATTGTATGTGGCAAACTTTCTATAAAACAAAGAGTCGACATGATTAACGATTATTTTAAAGTACGATAATATATTTGTATATTGCCACAGCATATCTTGTTTCACAAGAGGAACGCTTATCCACTTCATTAAAGCCTTTATATATTCTACTGAAGACAAATCACGAACTACGACAGTCGACAATATTGTAACCCGAATTTATGACTAATAAAGAAACGTCGCCATCATTACATTACCCTTACATTATCCCAATCGAGTCTTTAAGATGTATAAAGAAATTTTAATATAATAAAATAAAGCAGTTTATTCGAATAGCTTTCTTCGACCTTCGTAAAGCAAACGGTACGATGTATATGTACGTATTTATGGAGTCGCTTGGGAAAACTAATAAAGGACTGACTTGAGTTTGTACGAACTAAATTTTTTTAAGGATATTATATGTTATCAGAATAAAATCTGATTGTCTTCGGCTATGATATTCTTTCCCTAAAAGGTCTGATGGAGGATGGAGTCATGTGTAGAAGTTCACGCAAGTGAAGAAAGATGTGACCAAAGATGCCTTTTATGAGTGCTTGGAAAGCACTTATGAGAACTGCCCCCGCCACGATGTCAAAATCGTGCTTGGCGACTTTAACGCCAGGGTGGGCAAAGAAGGTATCTTTGGCACTACGGTCGGTAAATTCAGCCTCCACGAGGAAACATCCCCAAATGGGTTAAAGCTGATCGACTTCACCGGTTCCCGAAATATGGTTATTCCAGCATAAGAAGATACATCAGGCTGTCTTCAGATCGAAAACCACCAACCAGATCGATCATGTTGTGATAGACGGAAGACACGTCGCCAGTGTTTTAGATGTGCATGCGCTCCGAGGTCCTAACATCGACTGACAGAAGATTTCAAGACCGGAGCCTACTCTTGTAGAACCCCCAAATATGATCTAGTCACCGATGCCCAGAGCGTACTTAAATTATGGAGGGAGCACTTCTATAGCCTGCTGAATGGCAGCGAATGCACATCACCAGGAGAAGGCGAACCCGATTCCCCAATCGATGACGATGGAGCAGACGTTAAATATCCCGACCAGGAAGAAGTTCGAATAGCAATTACCCGCCTGAAGAACAACAAAGCGGAGGGGGCCGATGGATTGACGGCCGAGCTATTCAAACACGGCGGCGAAGAACTGATAAGGAGCTGCATCAGCTTCTTTGTAAAATATGGTCGGACGAAAGCATGCCCAACGATTGGAATTTAGCACACTATGCCCAATCCTCAAAAAAGGAGACCCCACAATCTATAAGGTTCTATCGAACGTATTGTGTGAAAGATTAAAGCCCACCGTCAACAAACTGATTGGACCTTATCCGTGTGGCTTCAGACCTGAAAAATCAACAACCGACCAGATATTCACCATGCGCCAAATCTTGGAAAAGACCCGTGAAAGGGGTCGACAAAGAAGAATCGACACTCACCATCACTTCGTCGATTTCAAAGCTGCTTTCGACAGCACGAAAAGGCTTGCACTCCTGCATGATATTGATATCATCGGCCTCAACACCCGCGCCGTTAGTTCTGCTTTCTCCAGACCGGACAAGGAAGCAGCACAARTGGGTTTGGCAGTGAACGAGGGCAAGACGAAATATCTCCTGTCATCAAACAAACAGTCGTCGTACTCGCGACTTGGCACTCACGTCACTGTTGACAGTCATAGCTTTGAATTTGTAGATAATTTCGTCTATCTTGGAACCAGCGTAAACACCACCAACAACGTCAGCCTAGAAATCCAACGCAGGATAACTCTTGCCAACAGGTGCTACTTCGGACTGAGTAGGCAATTGAGAAGCAAAGTCCTCTCTCGACAAACAAAAACCAAACTCTATAAGTCACTCATAATTCCCGTCCTGCTATATGGTGCAGAGGCTTGGACGATGTCAACAACGGATGAGTCAACGTTGCGAGTTTTCGAGAGAAAAGTTCTGCGAAAGATTTATGGTCCTTTGCGCATTGGCCACGGCGAATATCGCATTCGATGGAACGATAAACTCTACGAGATATACGACGACATTGACATAGTTCAGCGAATTAAGAGACAGCGGCGGACATTTTGTCCGAATGGACGAAAACACTCCAGCACTGAAATTGACGCCACGGAGCGAAAAGAAGAAACGACTGACGCGCGGTTGTTAACTCGGCTATAATCGCGTAAGCGGTGACTACGCCAATCAAGAAGAAGAAGGGTCTGATAACTCGGAAAACTTACTGTTTCTTTTAATATGCGATAGTTCCCTTCTCTTGGCAAAACATCGATAAGATCGGGAAAATAATGATATCCTTCCATCGTTCGAATACTTTATAAGTGTTGTCAGTTATTTTTTCCATTGGCGACGCTTGAAAACTAAATATTGCATACAAGAGCTCCAGCCTCACTGTTCAGGTTTGAGCTATAAGAGATTACCACAAACCGAAACTCATCATACCGCATAATCTACAAAGGATTAATTACACAAAACTCGAAATCCTATCAGAAAAAGGAGATATGGTATTGTATAAAATACAAAGAAACTGGTTTCTTACAAATATTCTGTTTGCGCTGAACACATATCAATGCAAAAAAGTTGTTTTTAAAAGCTCTAATTTCACAAATACTAGTAGGTAAAAGACTTTTTAATTTAATTTTCTTACATTTTTTATTTATAAGAAACATATTAAACATTCAATGAACAACTATTAATTTTAACCTTTATTGTAGTAATTGGATGGCCCCTTATTGTAGTAATTCGGAGGACCTTTATTATTTTGTTGTTGCTGTGCCAGTAGTAGAGGATATGCATAAGCTGCTTGATAGGCATTACAATCGGGACAAACTCCAGGCTGGCCAGGAGAACCATGTGCTCCAGGTTCGCCGGGTGCACCAACGACACCAGGTTCACCAGGTCTACCGGGTAGACCATCCACACAACGACCTTCAGGCCCTTGTGGACCAGGTAACCCCATTGGTCCGGGATGACCAACCCCATCTTCACCGCGATCACCTTTTTGTCCCTCCGGACCACGGGGACCAGTCTCACCTTGTGGTCCCTGCAAACCTGGTAGGCCAGGATAGCCACGCTCACCGGATGATCCTTGTGCACCAGGCTCACCTAGATAAAAATCGAATGTAGCAATTAGTTTTGTTAATGGGTGAAGTGTAGCATACCTTGTGCGCCTGGATGTCCTGGTGGTCCAGGGCGACCATAGCCACGTGGACCAGGTGGACCAGGTGGGCCAGTTAATGTTTGAGAAATTTCACTTATGTAGTCTAATCGCAAATTGATTAAAATTTATATATTATTAATAAACATACGTATATTTTTTCGTTACCTCTTACAACAGCCAAGCATATCTCACGTATTTCGCGTTCTTCTATATTCCGGGCTTCATTATTTATTATACCAGACTCACTAGGAGGTCCAGGCGGTCCTTGTGGTCCTGCAATACCCGGTAAACCTGGTAAACCTGGTTCTCCTTTTGTACCCGGTAGTCCTGGCTCCCCACGTTCCCCCATACCACCATCTAATCCAGGCAAACCACGTTCTCCCTTTTGGCCATTTAAACCCGGTAATCCGATATCACCTTTCGGTCCGAGCAAACCCACAGTCACATTACGTATATCTTCTGTATTAAGTATATCCGCTGTAACAATTCCAGGAAGACCTGGTGGTCCTGGTGGTCCAATTAAGCCGGGTTCGCCCTTCGCACCTGGTAAACCATCCCAACCACGTACTCCGTCTCCTCCGGGTAAACCAGGCAAACCAATATCACCCGGTTCACCTTTTTCACCTTTACTTAGGCGACCATTTAGCTGATTGGCGTACGGATATGACTGGTCTGGTAAACCCGCTCGTCCCTTTAACAAATAAATAATGGGCGATTGCATGCAATGGAATATTATTAGCTCACCGGCGGTCCTTGTGGTCCTGGCGGTCCCGGTGGCCCTCTCGGACACACTTCAGGGCATGCATGCAACTCCTGTCCTTGCAATGCAACTGGAGTGGAAGACAAAAATGTCGGGCGGTAAGTGCTAGTAGTTAAAAAAGTTAAATCTGGGCGCTGTGGCGACGGCACCACAGTTGCACGGGGTGTGGTAAATGACTCCTTTGCCGAAACTCCCTTAGGTGCCTTTGCGTATTGTGGTAGGTCTTCACATGTGGCGCGATGAGGTTTATCAACATCACAACTAAAGATCATCCATTGCAAGTCAATCTGTAAATTAAAATGTTTTACAAGTCACCTTGACATTATCGCTGTGAGTTTACTTACTGGTACTGTGCTTTTCGTTTTGCAGTCACGTGCCACAGTAAAAGCACCCTCGGTCGAATCAATTGGACTTCGTACATCAAGTGGAGTATTCAAATTGCCACTGCGGTCCGGTACGGGCTTGCAATCAACCCAAAGGCGCACAGCATCCTGTGTAACTCCAAGCATAACTTTATGCCATGAATGATCAAATATCTGTATTAAGTATGTGCATATAATTAGCAAATAACAATTATCAGAAGTTTCTTGTAACTATTTACTTCCAACTCCTCAAACGTGACCGTCTGCAAAGAACCATCATATTTGGGTAATGAGAATTCGAGCGCATTATAAAGCGGATTCATAATGATGCTCATCTGTGATTCATATCTATAATTTGAGATTTCGAAGAGGTACCACTCATTTGGTGGATCAAATTCAGGTACACGAAACGTGCATTCAAATGAAAAGGCCTCGGGTACACCCTTCGGAAATGCCTGCGATGATTCGATTGTCATGTTGGAGTACTCTTCGAAG